CTAGCTTCCCGAATGCCGCTGCTGCCTTCGACATGTGGATACGAAGCTCACTGTGTAGCTGCTAGTCAGTCACATCACATTACCAAAGTAGCAGAAGCGGGAGGTGGTTTCCAACACTTCAGCATCAATGCTGATTCGCGGCAATATTGAAGATTGCACCTCCGGTGAAGGCTGAAAGTGACAGACACTTTTGCTTGTGTTGATGGTGAGCCCGAATTTGGCCGATGTCGAAGCCAGAGCACTAGTCATATGCTACAGCTCATCCGCGCTGTGTGAAAACAACGTACAGTCGTCAGCAAACAGCAACATACGGATAGTTGTCTCACAGACTAGAGTTCTCGCACCGAAACGACGGATGTTCAGCAAACCACCATCAATACGGTGCTCCACACGAACACCGTAAGTACAAGCGGCATCAAAAGCACAGGACAACATTGCATGAAGATATGTATTAAACAGGGCAGGAGCTAAGACACAGCCTTGCTTCACACGAGAGACAACTGCAAAGTCATCCGAGGTCTCTCCACTCAGCTGCACCCTCGCCAGCATGCCACTGTGCAGACGTTCAATTAAACTTACAAACTTACACGGGCAACCAAACTTACCCAACACCAGCTACAATGCCTCGTGGTTCACTGTATCAAATGCCTTGGTGAAATCAACAAAAGCGAGTAAATTGGCTGGTGTCGTTCTCTGAAGTCAGTGTGCAGGTAGCGCCTGAACTACCATCGATCAGTGTCCCTGGCGGCTCCAATCTTAGTCCATACACCGCTTTCAAGGAGTCAAAGAATTTCTTGTGTCGGCGGCGTTCGGCGTAGCATTCCATCTACTGCACCTGCTCCGTCCACCATGCATTTTTTATGTGACAGAGCTCTCGGGTCAGTCGTCGTCGAAGTTTGCGAAACGGAATACTCTTCCCCAAGTCACTGGGGCCTGCCACATGTGCAGCAAATGCTGCATTCTTCGACACCAATGCGCCAATCGTCGCGTTGTTCTCGTCAAACCAATCAGGCCGCTTACAGTTTGCGCTCCCGATGGTCTCCTCGGCAACAGTTGTCACCTGGTCGCGAATGTGGTGCCACAGGTCGCCCACTGTGGCTACGCAGCCCACATCACACAGGCGTGTAGCCATTGCCTTCTCCAGCTCAATACGTTTCGCCACAGTATCGAGGGAGAGAATGTTAAATTTACGCCGATTCACGGCGGGAATGCAATACATATATTGACAAATATATATGTACAGTTTGGTCCGCACCAACTTGTGAGCAGTGTCAAACTCAGCTCCACGCAGTACACATGTCATGCGCACTTCAAGCATATCACGTTGACGTACGATGACATAGTCGAGCAGGTGAGCGTGACCACTCCGTGGGTGCGTCCAAGTTGCTATATCACTCGCACTCAGTGCAAACCGAGTGTTCTTGATCGTCAGGACGTGAGTGTCACACAGTGAGAGCAGCCTGTCACCGTTCGCATTCGCTGAACCAATGCCATGCGAACCGATAACATCTGTCCACACCGAGGCATCACGCCCAACGTGCGCGTTGAAATCACCCAGCAGAAATAGTCGGTTGCTCCTCGGCACAGACCGTATCACGGAGGCTAGCTGAGTGTAGAATTGATCACGCGTGTCATCAGGATAACACAGGGTCGGACCGTACGTGCTTATAAAGGTGGCAAAGTTACCTCTTCCGAGTCGTAGGCGAACAGTCATCAGTCGCGCGCTGATGCCTCTTGGTTCATCCACCAGCTGGACATGGAGGCGATTGGATATAGCAAATCCGACCCCGTGTTGTGGTGCTGAGGTGGCGTTGCTCAGCCAGCAGAATGTGTAATCAGCACCTGCTTCATGCAACTTACCTTGCTCAGCGAGCCGGGTTTCACTGAGCGCCACAATATCGATGTGGTAGCGCACCAGTTCCATCGCGATCAGTGCAGTGCGTCGCTCGGGGCACTCACTCGATTTCCGGTCCATTAATGTGCGCACGTTCCAGCATCCGATGCTGAGTTCTTTGCGGGCATGCACACGATTGCATTTGGTGGGCAATCGTACGCGATGTGGCGGATTTGCTTCGGAGGTTTGCTTGAGAAACTCCGCCCGGAGCCTTTGGTTAAATAGTCTGACGCACAAGGCACTGGGGAGCAGATCCAGCTCTGGAATGTGATTGCAGAGATAGATGGGGATATGTTTGACGGCTGTCACACACAGCCTTTGATGTACTGGTACAACCTATATGTGTTTTGCGACCGTAGTAGGATACACCTGCGACCACGGCCAGACGCAGGTGGGTTTTGGCGGGTTTGCACCAATTTGACCAGGGGCTGCCTGGCTTGAGGCGGGCAGTAGCAAACCATTGAACATCCGGAGGTGCTTTCCCACCGTTAGAGACAATGCGTGGCGCTCGTGCTCTATGCCAATCGAGCTGTGAGCTAATAACCCGTAGACCTGTTGCCTCCCATGGCTAGGTTTTACGGGAGGAGGGCCATCGACCACTTCCTAAACTCCGAAGAGGATGGACTAAAATACTGGCAGGGAGCCCACACGTGACAGGAGAATGACTCCGGTCTTCAGGCAAAGCCTTCGATTAAATGTACACCCGAAAGGCAGCGGGTCTAGCACATGATCAGTTAGCCGACTCATGCGGATTGGTGTCCTGGATCTTAGCAGGGAGAAGGGCGTACCCCAACTCCCAACCAGCGGTCGCCACTAGGCGTCCAGGACATGAGCCAATGGCATAACAGCAGCAGCAGTGGGTAGACCATCTGTCAGGATCAAGCCACCACCAGCCTTAGCGCACCATAGACGCTCCCGTCTCTCTCTCTCTCTCACTATACATATATAGCAAGGTAGCTCGGGTGATTTTTTGAAGTTGAGAACGCGTTTGTTCTACGGATACAGGTGGTAATTTGCCTTTTCAGTTGAACGGAAGGCCGAGACACCTAAATGATTCGTCGGGTTGAAGCGAAGATATCGTCATCGAGGAACACGAGAGTGATCATGTGTACAAAACGGCAATTTTTCTCGTACCTTACTGCTGATGCTGTTGCAAAATAGACGACACGATCAAGCATCTGCAGTTCCTGGGCGATAAGGATCAGAGCAATCGCGAGTGCCTGCGAATACTGCAACAGCACTTTGCGGGAAACGACGCAAACGAAGGAATGGGTGCACCATATGGAAATCGTTTTGCTTAGCGGCTGTCGAACACCAGGACGGTATAATGATCGGTGTTCACTGAGCAGGACCTCAACACTTTCGCCGTGAGGGTCCACGGGAAAATGATCTACGGCGAAGGCCAAGGTAAAGATTGACTGCAAATGGTGTGGTGGGCGAAATAAGGGAACCACATTCATTGTCAGAAGTGTTACAAAACTATCTGTAGAGCCGAAGGAGAGCCAATGTGTTCGAACGCAGAGTGTGAAGAACAAGAAAATATTATGTGAGCAGGTATGTTGAATAGAACAGGAGTAGACTGAATTAGACGCGTTCATGAGATAGGAGAAAACGGTTATGGTTGATCCGCGATAAGCTTGGTTTCGTTCTCTAGTTCAACGTGGATATACAGCGGCCTAATTGTGTTATCCAAACTCAATGTTAAGCAAATAAATTATGCAGAGCTTAGACAACGTCCATGACAACTGGGCGAGAAAGCTGATTGCCAAAGGGCGCGTGTTCGCCACAAATCGTGCTTGGGACAGACCCTGCGAGCGTTGCCAGGGCACAGTCGAAAGCTGATGAAATCGCGCATCAGGCAGCATGCTTGTTGTCAAAGTCTGACCGGAAGCTGATGGAATCGCGCGTCAGACATCACGTGCGTCGCCATGCCCCGGGAAGGCGGATGAAGACTGGCGTGTCCGAGCTAGACGGCGAAGTGGCCAGACGGTGGGGACAATCAAGTGTGGGGCCTGAGCATACAGATAAATCCGCCAGTTGATGTTTAGAGGATTAGTGAGACCGACATATAAATATGAGCGTTCTCGGTCCTAATACAACTCTGGTCTGCTAAGTCTTCTATCTTCCTTCCTGTCGGGTTTATCAAGGCGTCAAACAGAGCAGGCGTAAGGGCGCAGATTTACCAGCAAGCGTGAACCAACCGGTCGATTGCGGGTATAGCGTTATAACAGTCCATGAGTTTTGAACAACCAGCACAGCTGCGACATAGAAAGATACAGTTGTGATGTGAACCAGTCAGAAACCTGCTGATCGTGGAAGATAGATATCCTGAAAAAAAGAACTAAAGACGATGCGGTGTGGACATCTGCCGGTCACAAGAGAATTTCGACAGAAACAAGTGTATGTATGGCAGTAGCGCGACCAAAGCGGGACCAGCAATAAGTACGGTAGAATCGAGTCCAGAATGTACTGATAATAAGTGACAGAACCGCACCACTAGAGATCAGAACCGAATTGGTTGAGTCAGTTAAGGGACAAAAGTGAGATGCTTTAGGCTGTAAATCGGCACCCGAAGTGCTTTATCGGCATCCTACTCAGGTATATTGATGAGTGGTGTGCGATTGCGGAAGTCTGTTCATGAAGATGCGATTAGAACCGAGTCTACATATACGGCGCCCTTAAGGTGCATTATGATTGCAAACAGGTATGGATGAGAAGTCCTTTAGAGCAAGTAACGGAAACACAAAAGCTACCACAGGCCTGAGGAAAGCATCGCAGCACAAAGATGGTTCGCGATTCGAGCATCGCAAAGGAAATCCGAGCTGGCTAAGTAAGCATACGACCGGACAACGAAGGCGCAAAGACCTAAACCAAGGAGGGATATCCGTTGGTAATTATTTTGCGTATTAGAACTAATTCCCTTCGTCAGTCCAAAACAAGCAATGACGCCAAAACAGGTCACACAATGGCGGATGCGCAAGTGATTTGAAAACGCAAGCTCTTGTTGCTTGAAAAAAGGTTAGAAAGGTACGAACATCCGGAATCCTGTCAAAACAGGAAGCACGGGGTGGTGCGAAATGAATCTGAACTGTACGAAAAAACTCACTGTGAGATACCGTTGTGTGATGGGATCCGGTCGGAGTGAGGTGGCCGTACCAGCGGTAAAGGAGATATCCAGGATACGATATGCGATGGACTCCTCAGTCTCGCCGTCACAACGGTCCAATGTCAGCCGTAATTTATACCTGAAGGGAGTAACAAGTTAATGAGGCATGCGACAGGCTTTACTATGTTACAAACAGGCTAAGTTAGATCATCTACTCAATCATGATCTAAGCACAAGAGTACAGTGGGCAACTGTTATCATGCACAGAAGGACAAGGTGGCAAAGTAAACATAAAACAGGGTAGAAAAGGAGAAATAACCATTTGGTAGGGAAGACCTAAACGAAGTAACGTCAGTGAATTCACGACCAGGCCACACCGAATGGTGCAACCAAACTCGGAGACCGTATCAAGATGATGACATCTATCCCTCCCCTATTCAAATATTTTGTACGATCTCATTGATTGGGGTTTCACAAGTCTGATGCAATATCGGCAAAGAGTGTATCACAAAGTACGAAAAGACGAGCATACTGACTCACGTTGTGCTTAAATTTTCAATGATGAGGAGCTGTTCGCGAAGTCTTCTGAGCGAAAAGAAAGGATCGATTTCCGGATCTAGACTGGCCAACCCGGACAGGTAGCGACAAACAGTATCGCCCGCAGTTTCGCAAAGGAACTGCTGGTCTTGGGGGCAATATGTGGCTGCGAGCAAATCTTCGATCCAAGTGAGTGCAGCAGACGGCCAAACAAAAGGACAAGTTTCGTGAACCAACGCAGTAGCTTGGGCAGTGTTCGATGCAGTGCCAATGTGATGGGATTCTAGTTGGCGAACACGATTCACTATGAATTGAGCCAATGCTGTCTACAAAAAAAACGAACTGAAGAAATATGGTGGCGAAAGCGACAGAACGCAGAGAGAAAACCCAGAATGTGAGGAGTGTACACCGCATTGCTTCGTGTCAGGATGCAGCACTAGAAAGCGTCTAAATGAGACGGCTAGTGTAAACTAAGTGCAACAACCTACAAGGCAAATCATAGAGGTCATAATGCTTGTGTGAGTTGGGTGAACTTGAGAGAGGACTGATCGGTCCAGCACGCAGGAACTGCGCGAGCATATCATTTTCTGAAAATTACTTGCTAATACGGGGCTGGCCACCTGTTGTCCGTAGGGAGCTATGCGACTGGAATAAAACAGTCTCAGTGGCGAGGTAAAACTGCAGCTCATGAAATGTTAACGAAAAAAGGAAACTGTTGAATCAAAAGACTCTCTAACAAGCTGGGATGTCCTTCCTAGCACCAGAAATAGCAGGTAAATAGCAGTAGTGCAATGGTACTCGTTGAGAGTGGTCAAGTGGTTACCACTATGACCGAAGCTAAATATCACCGACTGACAGATGGAATTCCCCTCCCCCAACCCAGACCAGCATGCGACTTCTAGGCTGTCACGACATACCAATTTATTAACACTACGACGGATATGGCGCTTGAAAGGAATGATCGTGGTACTTGGATTGCATCTGACAAAGTAAAGAATTGTGGGCACATAACGGGCATCTATCGTCGAGTAATTTGTCAGGTTTGCGTGCGCGTGATGGGCATAATTGCAAGTCGCTTAGTTGTTTACCGTTCGAATCCTAAGTGGAGAGATTCCCAGAGACCGTTGAGCACCGCTGAAGCAGGCAGGGTGCGCAGTCCTGGCGGTAATGATGGGCTCAACTAGCGCGCCACAGCACATCCGCAACACCGTATACTTAGGCACGTGCAACTCCCGGCTCACTCGAGATGACAGCAGCAATACATGTACTGAAGGAGCGGAAGCGATACCCGAAGCAGTCGTGGACTCCAACCGTATGCCACTCGAATTTTGCCGCCTAGGGTGAATACACGATAAACGATGTGTGGATGGAGCTGCTAGTGGTGCAACACACATTGCCCATGGTTCAGTCTTAGGTGTAAAAGTCCTGCGGCTGCCCGCAGTCAACGTAATAGGGAACATCGGGAACGGATGCCGCTAATTACCATTGCTAGTGAACAATAAGCAGAGTTACAAAGGTGTGACAGTGGATAGTAGTAAGATGCAAGGATAAAAGCGCAGATCGATGGACAAACATGTGATGATATGAAACCACCCGCAAATTATGAAACTCCCTAACCCGCTCAGCGTCCATGGTTAGTCGAGTCGTTTACGAGAGGAAAAGGAAGTTGGCGGTTGATTGAGGAAAGTCGTATAGTTGGGAGCTCGGACCTATGCTCAGTACGATAGCGGAAAGTTGGGCACACTGCATTGGAGATAAGTTGGTTAAGTAAGCGGCCACCGCCGTCACCCACATTTCATTAGCATTTGTGAGTGGTTACCCCTTGAACAGCGGTGGCTTCAAATTCATTAGGAACCGAGACGAACGTGGCCTGTGGTCGATACCTGAAAGGACAAACCGTTGTCTAGCACATTCCCGGGTGGTGACGGCTACATGGTTTAGTCCAGTGGCGACGAAGCTACTTGACATTCTGTAAGCCCTCCTGTCACTGAAATGTCAAGCGGAATATTTCAACTGTCTATTTGTTCACCGATCTAGACAATTTCGTTGCGTACGTTTCGTCACCGTGTGAGATGGCACCGTCAGTGTGGTGACATACCAGGTGTAATCTTGCCCTCACGAAAAATCCTGAACTCCATGACTAGTTTCGAAGCTATTTAATTTCATTGAGTAGGGATAGCAGGCAAGGATCCCGGGACTTCAATGCACTTACAAGGGATTCAGGACATCTGCGCACCATAGCAGGTAAGAGCTCGCCACGAATCCATCGTTGCACGGCTGTCTCAACAGCAACGAGATCTGAGTGCGTTTCAGCATCACGGAGGGATGCATCGTTCGGATATGTCAACGGTCGACGAGAGAAGAAGTCCAGCAGGCGTTCCAAGTTTTCATGGTTCAACATCGATGTTAACTCGTCCTAAAGGGGGGGGGGCAAATTGGGCAATGCGTTAGCACTGCAGTCGACCAAATGTGACCCCAAAAATAGGAAATGAAAAAGCGCCAAGTAAGATTGCTTACTTTGTGAAGCTCCCAAAACAGGAATGCTTTACTCAGGTCATAGCCGGCAGGCCGATTGGCATCTGCCAGCAAGCGAACGAAAAGAATGTACACATCCGCATAAACAAACTGCTTCCAGATCTCTGGCCTGAAAATGAACAAAATGATGTAACCATAGAGCAATTTGAAAAGAACGCAAAACTGCGAAAATTGCAGTAGAACCAGCGATTTCGTCGGACATATTCCCGAAAGAAAAATACTCGATAAATTGCCGCAGGAGGATCAGACATATACAATCAGCAGAATCGGAAACGGATAACAAAAAAGAAGAAAAAGAAGACGGAGACGTGCTTAGTAATTAACCGGCTCGGAGATTTACGACGCATGTGAAAATACGGAAGAATGGTGAACTCTCAATGCTACCTGTATGCGCCGTCGCGGAAGATGAAGCGAGTCTGGATCCAAGAGCAAGCATACGCTGAACTAGAAGACACCCTAGTACTATCACTGTGCAGGTGCAAAGGAAGCAAGCAATATGCCAACAAGTATGGTGTAAGAATTTCCTAAGGTGTGTTGGGAAGTGATAGCTTGGATTCTGCTCGACCGTTTTGTGACTCATGTGTTGGAAGCAAAGGTGGTTCAAGAGCAGCGCGGTTTTTTGAGATCACCGTTCGTTAAACACCGAAATATCGTTAACGAAATCAGTAGTAATACTTGCATTGGATTCTGTGCATCCGTTGATGCTAAGAGTTCGTGACACGAAAGGGATCACCCGGATAAGGATGTGCAGAATGTATTGCATGCTGTCGCTGCGACGTTTCGTGGTGACTTGGACATATGGATGTATGGATGCGACCAGAATACCGAAATGCCCGCTAAGTAGTCAACTTAGTACAGGTAAGCGGAATGTAAGCAAACCGAAGCTTCGCTACCATGATGTGATCAAGTAATGTTGACTAGGTGTAGGAAACAATAGTGGCGAGTCGAGACCAATGGCATTACGACCACATAAGTGCCGTTGCTCAGGTGCACCAGAAAAGACAGTTGATCAAATGAAAAAACGCCAGTTACGGAAGTGACGCGCGCAGGTGTAACCCGGTATTATCGACATCCTGCAGCTGGTGTACTGAAACATGCGACCGTGTGTCTCAACCGAGCCGGCCTCGTAAGTGATCGACGTGGCCACGATGAGGTTGAAATAAAAGGGTGATTAAAGAATTAAATGGATGTGCCAGCGTAGCGTAAATACGCTGTTTTTAGTTGCATTTACTAGCCTAAGCTAACGATGCGACAGAAGTGGTGTTTGTGTTGTATGGTCGCCCCCCTTAATCTGTATATGCATCTGAGAGCTTGCGTTGCATGCTGGACAGCATTCACAGGGTAATATCCCAGTTGCGACCGCGCGTGGTGCGAATTTTGACAGGCTGCCTACTTGCCGAATACCGCGAGCTCGAGTACCAGTTCCAGAAGACTGCTATGTAGGCACAGGTGATCTGTGCCTGCAAGCAGTCGCAATGACAGATAACGGAAACGGATAACACGTAGCATAGGTTCATCGGGTACTAAAGCGGTTGTGATCCCCATAAATCGGTCAGTAAAGGGTCACGACCTGCAATCCTTGAGCCGTTGTTTGTATGAATTGCCGCATCTCTAGAAACATATGAGCTGTTCCATTTTATTTCCCATGGGCAATTTCAATATTTTCGCGAAGACACTAGGCAGTAGATTAAATTACCTCCGGATATTGTGAGGCCGAGGTAAAGGTCGCTGAAATGGTATTCGAAACTGGAGCAACACAACACACCTACCAATCGACACGCATAATGCCGCGCTCAAATCCGTCGCGTCTGGACTTGATGTTAACAAATTGTAACTAACGTGTGCATGGAATTCAGATCTTGGAGCCCCTGGTAGCAAGCGACTATACAGATCCCAATACCAACATAGAGTTACAGCCACAGAAGTCCCATGTAGTGAAGCTAGCTTACAACAACTGGGAAACGGAGTTCGATAGGCTGACTCAAGCCGCGAGCCGTAATTTGCACTTGTTGAAGCATACTAGTTAGTTATAAAAGATAGAAAAATCCAAATCCAGCCACATTGTTCAGACGGATAATGGCAAACTCGCCCGGCACAGACTGTGCGGCGAATTCCTGCAAACTAGTCCGGTCGACGAGTAAAAGAAAGCGGATTTATTTGCAGTAGTGCGAAAACGACCAAGCGTCGACATTCCGAGCAACAGGCAACCGCCGCGAAGACCACCCTGAAGAGAAGCACTGCTTACGTGAAGCGGTATCTGAAGCCTGCAAATGATCTACCAGTTTTAGTGAGCTCGGACGGGTAACCCTTAACCTCCCGCATTGAGCGTGCGTCCATGCTGGTGGCACACTTTACTCCAGTGTTTGCAAAAGACCAGGTGCCTGTATCAAGGTTAACAAACTCGACAGTCTGGTTTGTGGCATTGTGCATCATCAAATCGACAACCTTGACGGCACCAAGCCTGATGGGCTCCAACCGTTAATTCTCAAGTCCCAACCAGCCATCAACTGGCTTGTATTGACTGATCGGTTGAAGAATTCGCTATTCGAAGTGTTGTTGCTCGGTTGTAAGAATGACTACAAAGTGTAGTGATACCAAGAAAAGTAGATGATTAGTGGAAAATTTGTTTGATCCCTGTTTTGACCGAGGTTGTCGATAAGATTGTGAAGAAGAGTTTGCTACAGTTCTTCCATGTAATAGATCTGACGCTCGCACAGCACAGTTTCATGCCAGACCGTTCATACATTACAAACCTGCTCACGATGTGGCATGAATGGTCGCAAGCAGTGAACGTGATCTACGTAATGAGGTCCTTGTCCACAGGCCGATAATGTGCGGTGTTGGTAGCCACCGCGCCAGTGAATGCGAGAGCATCTCGTTGGAAGATTTGAGGGTACAGTCAAGGACCAAAGGGGTATCAGCCTGTCAGTGGAAGGTAGGGTTTATAACACTGCGGTAAGGCTAGTCTTACTGTACGGATCAGCGACCTGGCCAGTTCGCGGTGAAGACCTTAAACGCTTGGCCGTGTTTGACCATCAGTGCTTGCGAAATATTGCTCACGTTCGGTGGGAACAGCGGAAGAGCAATGCTGAGATTCTCCAGTTGGTTTTTGGTAAGAAGCCTTCTGGTTCCTCTATCGAGTGTTTGATAAATTTTAGTCGTTTGCGCCGGCTAGGCCGTGTCCTCCATACGCTCGTAGATCGACTTCCTCGGCGTGCACTATATGACGTGGCTGCACCAAGTTGGGTGAAACCGCGAGGTGGCCAGTTCATGGCGTGGCATAATGGCATGGAGAAAATGACTGACAAACTTGATCTAAGTGGATGGGGGCCGCGAGATGTTTCACACCATTGGTTGGACACCGTACTAGACACGGCGCAGTCACGCAGTCTGGCGTTCCTAAATTCCGTTTCTTGCATTTAGTTTGTTATCTTCATTGCATTCTGATTAATTTAATGCACTTCCTTGTGGTTTCCTTTTTTACATTCTATCTTGGCGTTGTTCTTTATTGTTGTTCTTGTGATGTGAGTCCAGGCAACTGGATCCACCGCATTCCGGTGTACAAATCACAGTTGTTCAAATGAACCGAACTGAACTAACTGAATGATATCCCTTTAAAACTGATTTACACCAAGGGGCGGTGCTGGCGCTAACATTCTCCCTAATCGATATAAACAATATACTCCAACTTCTTCGGTCGTTGTGCGCCCTGTTTGCAGACGACCTGAAAGTTTGGAGAGTGATTAGCATCCGCGGTGACTGCGGCCTACTTCGGCATGCCCCCAATCGCTTCTTCATGTGGTTTGCAGAAGTCTGCCAGCCGGTCAACTTAACGGAGGATGGTGACGGCCGAACCTACACCATTGACGGCCAACTGCTACATACCATGCAATCCGGGAGGAACTGAGGCATGCTCTTACGTTGCGATTTGAAGTCCGTGGGAAACATGGACGGCCTACACCAAGACGAACGACACATGCTATGTGCGCTCAAACGCAGCCTCCGCATGAAGTCTGAAGAGGTTGTCACTTGCTTCTGCTATTTCCTAAGACCAGTAATGGAGTACGACACCCTTAACTACTGTCCAATCACCAGACGCGAGGCATAGAAGGTCGAACGGGTCCAAAGCGTCGCCTCAGGGTCATCACTAGTTTATAAGGCTTACCGTACAAGGAGAGGTGCAAGAGTATGGGACTGTACACCCCGTCTAATGGTCGGGTGCGAGTCGACCTCATCAAGGTTTAACGCACTCTACATCTAAGACATTGTTGGATGTACATCACTCTAATTTTAGATTCTGAGAACCACCACCCACTGACATAGATATCCCATATTCGTGAGTCCCAAGTTACCAGGAGTCAAACACTGTACGTGATCATATGAGAACTTGGAAAACGATCAGTGTTGACAAGTCGTGGATAGTTAATGCTATATCATTCGAGCATATTTTGATCAAGTTGTACAGATAAATAAGTAGGATCTATTAGATATGGCACATACAAAGGAGTGAAACAGCGTCCTCTGAATAGCCAAGGAAAGAATAGTGTGAGTATGAAACCCTCTCCCGACAGCTTAACCGCGAACGAATTACCGGTGCATATGGTTATGTAGGGATCTCCAAGTTCATCAAAACCACCGTCAGCCGCTGGGCACGTAGGCACTGTGAGCATGCGTACACAAACTTAGTATACCCCAGATATTACGTCGAAGTGTCTCAACTGATTGCAGTCTCGTAAACCCAATATGGCACAGGGAATATGCGTAGACAAAAATAACCTTCCAACATATGTGCTACCTATGCAAGAGCATCGGCAATACTGCACAAATTGATCGGTACCATAGGTGGGTACACGCTAGCGAAGAAAGCATAAAATATGTAGCTGAGGCCTTGGGACTCACAAAAGCAACCACCTGGTCGATCACTTCATGCCTACTAGCGATGTGGCCGGTTGGCCACTATGTTAAGTGTCCGGCTGCTAAGCAGTAAAGAAACGGGATGAGTGAGACCCAAGCAAAACAGGCAGTTCAGCCGCAAAAGAAGAACCTGCTTTGTTTTACGTGGTCGTTTGGTGGGTCAATTTGGCCGACATAAGAAGCAAAGGTAAAAATCGCGAGGAAAGATGAGTTAGTGTCCATAACGCGATCAGTCAAATGAAATTTATTGAGTAGCCTAATTAACATCAGCAAGGTAGCGTGCTCCAAAAAACAGCGGCCGATTTTCACCGGTACGTTCTACTTGAGTAGTATGCCCATGGCGGAAGATAGCTAAAGGAGGACTAAGCGCTGACCTGAGGGAGAATAGCAAAAACCCATAGAAAAGTAGGATGCGCCATTAGGAATCGCTGATAGGAATCACCTTTACAAGTTGAAATTTCCAGACGAAAAAGTGCTGTGAGAAAGAGCATGTGACAAGGAGATCTGCGGGGATGATCACACCCAATATAACATGTCACATTGTATGGTAGGGTGGCATGTTGTGAACTCGCAGCACTGAGACGCCAACGCTGCAGACACTGATGAAGTAAACGAGATAGTAGCGGTTTCCTTCACTACACTTCGCTCCGCACAGCTCAGTTGCACAGTGGGAATACAAAAGTGTACAGCGGATAAGAGGCCAACTGGAATAGTTCAGTTAAGAAACGAAGGTGTTCATCGCCCTCAGCTTCATGTCTGCAGATACTATTCCCCCGGTAAAAGAATATATTGCGACATAACCGCCCCACAAGAGGTGAAATAAGAAAAAGGAGAGAGAGAGAGAAGTATGTCGATGATAACCGTCGGCTGCGGCGGAATAGAATGCCAGGGAAAGAAGTCTAGGAACTATAAAGAGGAAAGTACTCACTCAAATCGACTGGATCCATGAAGTATCAAAAACGTCTTAATACGTCTGAGTCGATGAAAGACCTGAAATGAAAGTGGCATGCTCGAAATGAGGTCACATGATACAGGTATGGGAATAAGTAGAAACCACATGAAAATTTGGTAGACATGTTCAATAAATAGAGAGAAGTTGGATGTGAATGTGTCAGTTCATAAAAGGCAACAAAAAGCAGCGGACAAGAGGGCCGTCATGCAGATGGACTCTCAATCGATGAAGAAACTGGTTAAATTAGGTCACTCACTTGTGCAACCAGTTCCCTTTTGATGCTCATTTGGTCTTCGGTCGCAGTAAGTAACTGGGGTGCAAACAAAAAGCGTATTGTCAACCGATGGAATCTACAATAATCGGCATTAGCAGACAGCATAGGGCGTGGGTCATAAAAAACACCGGAAGAATTCGACTAGGATAAGCAGAACGGAGAAGGAAACCATGGTGGCAACTCATTAACCCATTAAAAATAGAAAAGAAGCGGGCTGAAAATGAAGTCAAATTCTGTTGATTTAACTCGTAGCACAAAGGCGATACGTCATAGATTAATTGAAACTGTCAGCAATCTTTCCCCGACAAAATACCCGGGGCGACTAGATGAAGCATGTGAAGAGATCAAAAGTGGAGCAAGAGACCACGCTTGATGATGCCGCTAAGTGCTTCGGGAACGATGGACGACCGATTATTGGAGTGGATGTAAGGACGTTTAGTAATATAAAAAGAGTCGTTCTCAGCAATGTTGAATAGACCGGTTGGAGTAGTGCAGTGAAGAGTGATTCACCAGACGTGCTGTTACGCTGTCATCTGACGAAGCAAAGAAGCTCGCGTACGAGGCTGGTGCGTGCCGTATTCCTGCAGGGGGGCAGTCAGGTCAACCAAACCGGCTGGTGGAGACGTGGCCAGATTTGGAACAATCGCTAAGTACTCCTGCTTCCGGTCCCTGGACCTATTCGCCAACACCACGACTCCATTTATTGTACTCATCATATTTCATAACTCTGTTCCACGCACTGAAGTGCGTCAGCCCATGGCCTAAAGAACAAGGCGTTTGCCTTTTAATCCGAAGGAGCGGGTTTCAGCCTGTGTAGGGGACCGGGCGACCCAAGTAGCAACCTCAGCCATCGCGCGACTGGTAGTGGTTGCGTGGCAGCGAAGCGTCGGTACTGCATACCGATGTACTGCTGTTACCACTTTAGCCACCACTGACAACCACTACTGTTCCTCCGACGAGGGCTATGGATAATCGTTTTACTAAACGGAAAAGGTCGTTTTAAGGAAAAGTTAAATAGGGAAATGGGTTAAAGATAGCATAAATGAACTAATCCGAAAGATTACAGCTTGATAAGTCTAATACAGTTGCAACAACAAGCCACTAACAAGCAGTGCAACTGCAATTACAACAAGTGTACTAGAAAAAGCCGCACAAGGCGCAAACTATAGTCCAGAGTGCTACCTTTTCTTTAAGAAGCAGCAACAAGTTTTGTTGTAGATCGGAACACGGCATATCCAAACTGATCAACTTGGCGAGCAGAACGTCGTCCAGTTGCACGCGCTAAGAATAAAGAAAGGTAGACGAGGGGAAGTGACGCTCATGGAAACGAAAAGTACTCAGTTGGAAGGATTTATGATCTACGCATTAACAGCAGAGGTTCTGAAAGAGGACTTTACCAAATTGTTCTTTGAGCCTTACTCATGTATACTACTCAAACCCCGAAAACTGTGTTGCTTTTCAATTGGTAAAAAACGCGTTCGTTGCAGAGATGTACCACAATTATTTATCAGTAGCATAGCGTTCAAAAACGAGTAACCATGTGGGGGGACTGGATCATTGGCAAACGCCAGTGGAAGCAAGGAATTCATCTGACAAAAAGTGCGTCCGCAAGGATCCCTATTAAAATATATGATAATGGTAGAGAATCTAGTGGGAGAGATAGGCAGACTCTCGGTGAGCAATGCAACTAAACGATCAGAGGCTTGTTTACTCAAATGGTGGTCGAAAAAAGGAAGTCAAGATACGCGAAATGGAAAAGGTATTAAAGTAAGAAACGTAACAACGGCAGCTGGTTACTGATGAAATAAAGTCGTCTATAACTGGCTAGACAAGTAGGTAATAAGCAGCATAACCGGCAGCTTTCAGCACTAGTCGGGCAAGATTTGTGACACAAGAACAATTTTTCATGATGTAGAAGGTGAGGAGAGTGTCTGTTAGGTCCATAGTGAACTCATGGGAGCCAATATCTTGTGGCAATTATAATGGTAAAGAGCAAGCTAACTTGAACCTAGGCCCAGCGGTCAACAAACTTTAACCGAACGAGGCTAAACTCTGTTCTGGTCAAGTGTGCGATTAACACACGTTAGCCGAAAGAATGGAATCCTTGTATGTCCATCTGTTATTGTGTTACACTCTATGCAATTCACTTTTCCATAGAAACTAATTTGTAAACGCGCGCATGGACGATACAAACAACAACCGTTCTCTCTCAATCGTGCTCGCCGGCCCGTAACCTTAAGGATCACAAGCATACCTTATAATCTGAAGGTGCAGGTTCAAGCCCGCGTATGGACCGGGTGACCCCTGCAGTATCCCCAGCCGACTGGTAATCGTTGCGCGGTAGCGAAGAGTGAGGTACTGCGTACCGGCGTACTGCTGATGCCTTTCCTGCCCTTTTTCAGTTGCGTTTTCACTGTCTATCCAGAGTCAGACGCAGTGCAGAAAATCCATATAGAGTTGGTCAAAGTCGAGTGCTCAGTGAGAAGTTGCAATATGGTCAACTCCGTGGTGCCGTATTAGCATGTGGCTATGGATAAGAGCTCCGGTTGCCTCTAACGAAAAAGGGACGAAATCAGTCGTACAATGTCAGATCAGGAAGGAACCGAACCTAGCAGTTAGCTACAGTAGTGCTCTGTGTTCTGCATACTCTGAACTTACTTCAACGCAGATCGGGGTAGTGTTACGGAAACGTCATTTGATGCAATAATAGTATGCTTACGCAGTGTCCACACACAACAGTAAATCAGGATTCGGTATGTATCCCCAGCTAAGCAAACGGATGTCCAATGTGATGAGTAAAACAGACTTGGATTAGCGGCATCCGTGTCCGAATTTTCCTGTCACTGTGGCTTCCATGGGACAGCCACAGGACTTCTGCGCCTAAAGAGCGACCGTGGGTAACTCGTGCTGCACCACCCACAGGCCCCATATCCAGTGAAAACCCGAAGGAATAAGACCGGGAGGCATGCGGATGGGAGACATGTGTCATCAACGGAGTGGGCCCAAATCCCATCAAGGTGCACAGCAGCAGCATTCTTATCTAACTAATAACTGTCACGACGGTCCTTGCCATCCCCCGTAGCTCAGTGGTATCAAGTAAAGACTTGCTACAGTCGAGTAGCGGGTACGAGCTCACAAGGGCCAGCTGGATTGCGCACTGCTGACGATTCCCGAAATAATAAAACGGCCGTGCAGTGATTTCCCGGGCGTGCGATGGATGTCTAAGTGATTCTAGATGTGACAAATTGCCAACTATACCATGCAACTCCCAATAATACACCTCTGTACTTAGGGAGTCATGTGTACCAGACGTAAAAAGGGTAGTGGCTAGGCCGTAGACTGTTCCACATCGGATGTATGGAACCACTCTTTGAGCCTAGCACCGTCAGGAGGACGGTGCACCCCGTCTTGCCAGACAACCACCAACTGTCTCCTAGAACCAGTATGATCGAGATAGCGGTTTTTTGACAGGTTGGCACCTTGGTAACATTCAGGTCAAACGCAGCCATACCGGGAATAGTAAACACAAAATGAAATAGACACGCGAACTGGACAGTAAACGTGCGGCAGTATAAAAGAACAAAGCAAGTAGAAAGGTCTGATCTAGCGTAAGGGCAAGTGTTTGTGTAAGTTAGAAGATATCAACCAAAAATGACCGAAGAGAAGCAAAAAAATAAAGAGGACATTTGTGGGGATCTACAGAACTGAGCAAATAACTTAAAACGGATGCAGTCAGATCTAGTGTAATGCAGAACAAGCGTAAGTGTAAGTCACTAGCCCAAATGTGATGAAGAAATAATATATGCAACATCAACTTTCGTAAGAGGCTCACAGATGTGAGGATGTACAGCTTTTGCCCGAGTCAGCGCAGGTGCTCAGACTAGCCATCCGTTTTCTCTCTGCTTCGCAATACAGTTGTTGAGTAAGCTTTGACCAGTGCTCTCATGACCTTCGATACATGGTAAAAGGGGACGAGGGTCTAGACAGTTGACCAAATTAACTGGGACAATCAGTATAAGGTCAGGTTGCTTCTTAGGAAATTGTGCACTACTGAGCGTTAACAATGCAAATATGTCATCATCCCGAAACGTTACTTTACCGGGCGGCTAGCTGTGAATTAGATGCAATTGGAAAATGTCTGTGGTCCTAGACTACAAATTCGGTCTGAAGTCGATGATTACTAACCATCGTTCCTAGAGCTAGACTACGAAAGTAGTGACAGTGCATGAGAGTAGAGAAAATCCATGAGATTGAAGGGAAGCAATCAAGCTCAGGTGGAGAACGATCGTTATGCAGAGATGTATACAGTTTATGGCAACCGCATATTATTAGTGAATGAGGCACTCACGTAAATGAAATGTTATGGCTAAAGAGAGGACATTACGTCAGTGAAGCCGAACCGCAACGCTGCAGCCCGATTCCCACATAAACACGACGGCTCCCTGCGGGAATGAATCTTCATCACACGCACTTCAAACACAGAAACGGCGATACCACTGTTCTGTAGGCGCATCATCAATGGTAACTTGACAAGTTTCAGCACAACGCGAAAGCATACAATCTTCGTCATACGGTCTTTTCGATATATACTAAGGAAGGAAGAAGAGTGCAGTACCCAAACAGGATACTTGCAAGCATACTCTGATGTAAAGACGACGCGCGTTGAAAGCTCGTTAGAGAGCACGCACCCCCGTTGTGCCTTGCGCCGAGTAAACAACGATGTAAATGTGATTAAATAACACCCGACGGAGTGCAGTGTGCGCAGAGTATACCTAACAGTGTGGGAGTGATTACTCCAGCTTCCTTGGAAGATACGCCGAACTCGATGAAGACAGAAACCACGGATCCGGAAAAGCACTGTTTCGTCCTGTTGAGTCATGGCTGGATGCGACGGACCTGCGTGGCTGCTTTTGTGAGGTTATGTAATGTGGCTCATGCTGGTTTATGTATTGGTAGGGAAGTTAGAAATATTATCGGGCCACCGAAATGCGAGATTACACCAAGGTGACTTTCTGATACTCAGACGTGCGCAGAACCGACAGCGTCACCTACCAAGGAAGGTGAATATGAGATGCGTAGAACACGGAACAAGTGAAGATGAATGCAAGTCCGGTATATAAAGGACCAGTGGTGTAGGTTGGTTGACAGGTGCCCTGCTTAGCGCGCAAGTCAGCTGACTGCTTGTAAGTACAGCCTCGGGAAGCATTATTTTGGTCCATGCTTACATCGATCTCTCGCAAACATCCTATCAATTGGTTGCCGTCCTCGATACTGAGATGTCTGCCATCAGAGTCTGGACATTCAGGGGAACGACCGAGACATTCCATGTGGTGCCGAAGCTCTGCCAATATTACGGACTGATACACCTGAAAATGAGTGACAAGAAATGGAGGAATAGATTAGCTGAGATGATTAAACAAAAGTGGAACTACGTAGAAAGAACTCTACATATCCGCAATGAGCTGCAAGTATAAAACACCCTGAAAAATGTGGTTTCTCGTAATGCCACCACAGTGGTTCAATAGTTCTTCTGGTACAGCGGTAGTGTTTCAGAAAGTGGTGGGTATCACAACTTTGTCGATCGTCTGCCGTCACGTATACGACATACAAGTGGTTCATATATGCTCAATAGGAATTGCGCAGACAACAAAAGTACACTTTCCACACGAGACGAAAGTAACGATGTATTTCTCCCAGGTAGTGATTACGTACATACAGGGGAGCATTCAAACGTATGGTTTCCTATTTCGTAAGCCTGTTCGCGAACTGATTAGCTTGTATCTTCGAGTGGCGAGGTGGTTTTTACGGGGGTAAATTAAGTGAATTTACTTACCAAGAAACTCGGATAAGACGCTAATATAAGCAGACCATGGTACGTAATTACGTGAGACCCGTAATACGAAAAATCATGATGCAATGAGACAAATAGGCGATCAATCTCCACTATTGTGGTGCTCCTTCGCGAGCTATCCCGAGAAACTGAGGAACCCCGGACATCCCTGCAGAGATATTCTATCTCTCTGCAGAGATAGAAATGCAACAGCCACGCAAGAATCAGTCTAGTGGCGGTTTTCCAACATATAACCTGCTCAACAAAACATCATTTAATGAATCAGATGCCCATGAACGACAAGTTGCGTACCGAACAGACAGGGTAGATCGAGAGCATAGCTTTCATGATGCGCCAACTTCTTGAAGACAGACAACTGCTGTCACACAGGTAACTGCTGCATAACCACTACAAAGTTTGAGAGAGTCAATCTATCTGCTAACCGACATGGTATACAAACAAAACGTATTAATGATAGATGTATAACTATTTCTTGAACGCCATGTACCCATGTCTCAATGGGAATGATGGCATACAGTGGGTTCCCTTCACTTTTCGCTATCATCGGTAATGTGCAATAAGGCCGTCCTAATCCCGAGGTTATTCGATTCTGCGAACGAGGACTGATTTCTAAGATCTCTGGAAAACTGTCAAATATACCGTTGGATGATTCGTTTAAGCATCCATGTGACTAACACAGAATGCGTTGATTGTCACGCCTTCCACGGTGATGAAACCAAGACAAAGCAACCATCTCCAGACGTCTACGCAATCGAATCGTCGATCTACGATAAACCGTATCCCCCAAGGAGTAGCAATGCGACGCTTTTAGGATTAATAGTCCACTATTCCATCTTCTCACAGATGAGGATGGAGAGCTCCGATAGCCTAAGCAACCATGTTTCCTGTTGGTGTCAAAAGACACATCACCAAAGCTAAAACTGAAATAGATGTAGCGTATCAAGACGTCCTTGATTAGAGTGTAAGGGTTGCAAGTACTGGTGGATTAGCGTGGGTGGTCAAATGGCCCTCAATTTTCGATTAGAGTTGTTGGTGGATAGAAAGGCGCGTTCGAACAGTGGTTACAACCTGACCTTAGAGGGGAGGAGATAGATCTACATGTAACAAACATGCTGCTACCCATACACGAACTATACAAGATGTGAACTGCTCATGCAGATCGATGGAAGCACAGTGAACAATAGCCGGGCAAAATAAACTGGTATACTGAAAATAATCTGGTAAATTCGGATCCTTAGTAGACGCTGCTGTTTCCGGATGTTCACAATGAAGGAAACAAAGACCCCATAGTCGAAAACACAAGGTACCGTTTGAAAAAGATGTAACCATTGAAGGGCAGTCGCATATGCAAATCTTGAGCGTCTGAGAAATAAGAAATCAAATCTCACATCTGGCTACGTGTGGTCATTGTGCTAGTTCAAGCAGACTACAAACAATTTGGGATCGCATGCAGCAGAGTAAGAAACAGTGATGATACATGCTCAACGGTAACCAGAGCAGTAGGTAGGTAGATACGTACGCTGGAGTCCAAATGGAAGTTCCGCAGGAGTTTCTTGGCCTCGTCGAACTGCTTTTCTTCTACTAGTTTAAGAATCCTGGGAAATAAAATTGTACTTGTAGTCATGTGTAATGGAAACAGCGGTCACAAATAGATCACTGCAGAACCGTAGGGGTATGCAGTAAACAAGTAAATTTCCAAACTGTCTACAAGCCACCAGAATCTGGAGCAACACGTAGTGCTCTAAGATCAATACAAGATAAAATGCAGCAGTTAAAACAGTAGATTCGATGGCATCAATAGGCAAATCAAAACAAACCCCAGCGATGTCCAGACTGTACGAAACAAAAATGATTCGCACAGAGAAGATGAAGAAGAAGAAATCCAAAGTGGTTGAGAGGGCGCATAATGACTAAGAAGCCACTCATCCTAACAACGCCATCCTGTACTCAGGGATCCCATCAGCAACTAAGTTTGGACGCTCTAATTCAAGTGGTATATGTAGGGGAAATATATTGCAGATGCGATACAGTATAGCTTAATCATTTTATCCTGCTACATAGACCTATTTTAAGCACCAATAGACTCAGCTCTTGTGACCTTCCCATTGCCTTTTTTCTTTTTTTGTAATGTCTACCTTTGCTACAGATGACAAGGACTGAAAGCTGGAGTTCGGTGCTCGATGTTCAGTACACATCGTATGTTGCTCAGGAGCGATGCAGAGGTTCTGAACACACCCAATTGTTCGCGTACAACTGAAAATATGCCCAATAGTAGTAGACATTACTTACCAGCTTTATCACCGAACTTGTGCATACAGAAACAATTGAATGTTGACGAACCAGCCGACGCTGGCACCGGGTTGCGAATTTCGTGGCACTACCGTATGTGTCTTCGCCCATTATTGGATCCACCATCAGTGACGAGAATATGTCTAAACACCGTGCAATCAATAATGCGAGGAGTAGGTTCTGTAATAATGACCCATGATAACGTAAACCTAGTTTTACTACCACGGGGTAAGATTATTTTCAAGAGAGCCTCATTGATGGTTGGTTGATGGTGAACCCATCAGTTGAGCAGATTAACATCTTCCTACCCCAGTTACGGCGTTGACATTCTGAGTTCCAGGTGTCTTCCAACTGTCGCATGTGCACACCTCATCGCTACCATGAACATTTCCCCAGGGATGAAGTTGGACTGGAAATGGATACAACAGGTTCATGTTGCACAACCACTTCGTTTAAAACGGAAGCCGCCCATCGATGGAAGTGCTTTTCTGCTGTTCTCCTATGCAGCTGTGGTCTATATAGGGGATACACCTACGCAGCCGTAGTCAAAATTAGTAGCCATAGCTATTCTAGCGGTTGTAGCAAACTGGTGAATGAACATGATTTCCTGGAACCGATGCTACAAGATTTTGACGAAGCATTGGAGAAACGTGTATGTGACTACAAGCTGACTGCCCACACATCCCACTGTCCTTGGATCGCAATGTCGCTTATGTCTCAGCAAGGGCATAGCCCAAGCAGATGAAACATCTCGGATAATTCGCGCGTGAAGAATAAACAGACGCTGTTAAGTTGTACTTTCGCAATATATCTCAATTTATCGGCCTATACATGGATGACCGTATAACTCTTCGCGTCCCTTACGAAGATATTTGGCGCACAAAGGAGAATTTTTGATCGCAGTGTCAATGTGAGCATCACATCAGTGATTGCTTTTTCTAAGCCCTCGGTATTAACATGAGATTCTGTTTTCCGCTCGAGTACATGCACATTCTATACCTCAAAGTGATGGATCACCACCCGTTGTGGAGTGGGGGGTGAATTACAGAAGGAAACCGTCTGTCAACTGCGGTGTTTGAGCGCGGTAATCAGTGCCTGACATCGGGGAAGGGAACACGTACAGAAACGGAAGGATAACTAGAGCAGGGTGGTTGATATAGCTCCGAGTAACTAAGGCAGTAGAGGAAATTTCTACGATAAGAAACTCAGACAAAGTCGGAAAGATCGCCGCGAAAACACGTAAAACCCTGTGCTGGTGATATTTCATCCACGTCCAGCTCACTTCGGAAAAGATTAGCGACTTACCGTTCTGTTGGAGTAATTGACTGGACTGATTTTATAGACAATATATCGACACCTGAGGCAGAGCGAGTCAATTCGGCGAAGAGGACACGCTTTGCGTCCTTTTCTCCCGATGAAATAAGATCCGTTCCAGGTAACAACCAACATGTCTTGTCAACACAAAGCGTGTGTAAAACATCGTAACTGAGAATAAAAGGAAAGTGATTCGAGTTAGTACGATGGACGAAGAGCCATATGAGTAAACAGAAAATAGCTGGTGTGAGTGAAACATGATGGCTGTGATGCAAAGGTAACTAATTTGTTTCCGCTGTAACGTACCGAGAAGGTCTACCGGCCTTAGAACTGGGGGACGGTATATTCGAACGACAGCAATCGATCTGACCGAGAAACACTAGTGGAACAACGAAGCCACACCGTTTGTGGTTAGAACTGTAAAACAATACGGTCCAGTAGTGCCGCAGGTGGTAATGAGAAAAATATAACGGAGGACTAAGTAAAAAGAAAGTAGTGAACCTGCAAGAATTGAAGGATGTCAAGAGAAGTAAAAAAATCAATATGGAGTATAATGAGCGTATTTCGTCGACGAAACAACAACAAACAATTTATCCCAACGACTGCTAACTAAAAATGTGATTCGCTGTCTGATGCGCGGATGCAGTAAGCGACGAACTTAACCATCAATCGGCAAACTGTATGTGTCGCTAGAGTGCAATCACATTCTCTTTGCTTCCGCACTTCACATGAATCTAATCACACAATAAATATGTTTGTATATACTCATTGCAGCAAGCTTAACCAGCGCCAGTTGGTGCACTCTGTCTTTTGGATACCAGCTGTGTGGATAACCGTTTATCTCCATAGCGCAGGTTTGCACTCCTTCCACAGAAAGAAAAGCGCAATTTTCCATCTCCCTAGAGTCAGGAAATAGTTTTAACTCCAAATGAAGGTCAAATCTGAGAATTACGTACTGTCATCAAGATAAAGCGTCGACTGACAAGTAATGAAGCTATCTGATGGTTTACTAATGAGTAGTGGGGAGGTTGGTATAATCAGAGGCGATTCATCATAGTCCACTTACAATAGGCGTTGGCAAGTCTGGAAAAGTACATAGGCGCTAAGCGAAAAGTCCTGGCTCGCGGGCTAACTGCTGTGCTCTGTGCAGTTCGTATCTGGCATGGCAGTAGAAGACGAGTCGAGCTATATCATAGTCAACTGCCAATCACGCAGATTCACGGCTGTCACCCATGGCGAGGTGGTACTAGCTTCTGGCATCCGGAAGTCATGGGGTAGGAACGCGGCAGGAGTCCGATGGAAGAAGCACCACTGACGAGACCCAGAACGTCGAAACGGCGCAGCCCGGGGCTTTTCCAGACTTGCCAACACTCTGCTGACAGAGTGGACGATGATGAATTATATCAGACAGTTTGTTCTTGATTGTTCAGTCGCCTTGTTTGCATCTCAAAGCGGCTTTTGAGCGATTAATACAGCCGCTTAACGTGCACAGAAACGCATTGTGTTGTCCTATCAAAGTGCAGAGATCAGAGCCAGTCAATCCAGCGTGAAGATGGATAGCTAGACAGCCACGCGTACAAAGCTCAAAGCAAGCGCTTCATCGCTGATCCCAGATGCATAAACGGACAAAAATACGCTAGTTGGATTAATTGCAGCGAGTGATCAAAAGAAGCAGTGCTTAATGCAGCTGAAACCGAATTTGTGGGTCAATTTCATGTGAAAAACTCGAGAACAGAAACCCAATGATCCAAGTGCCTTAGATATTTCCATGCTAGGCTCCTATCTAGCGAGATGAAGTTGTACACTATGAGATCAGACTCCCTCTGGTGTTGTGCAGCACATGTGACTATCCCACTGGTCAAGAAAATTCTTGTACTATATCAGAAATATAAAAAGCCAGTAGTAACGATGAAGCAATTGACGAACGCAGAAATCGCTTCACTATGAGAAAGCAAGGCAGAGAGTAGACCCCAGTCCGCCCAGATAGTCTCTGCTTCATGCCTGAGGTCAATCGGCGTGTCAATACTACCAGTCCCGCCGATTTACATGAACCAACCACCTCCAGTTCGAGTGGAATAATCCCGAGCACGGACGCGTCCATGCTCGAAACTGCTCTCAAATAAAGGAGGGACGTTGATACTAGTGCTGGCTGCTAGGTGATTGCTGCCAAGGGCATCCGAAAATTTATGCATTCAGCAACACCCACTGGGCCTAAAATAAATCAGGGTGTATCTGTATTACTTATGAGTAGAAGGATTTTTGCGAGGTTTTGAGTTCGTCGCAATCACCCGACAATTCAAGTAACTCGAGTAGTAACAAGAAAAGCACCAGACGGCTGTTACGCCTTATTAGGGTTCGTTAGTGGTGCGCATGCTTTGGTTCTCTTCCGAGGACCGAACCCATGACTGCTAGTGGCCTGCGCCAACTAGACTGCAACCTATGCCGTTTTAAGCCATGGGGGATGGCAGCCGACCATAATGAATTGTGATCTAACTGCAATATAGCCCGACTCCACTGCTATGCAGGCGCCTGCAATGCAGATGACAGCGGTTGGCCTTCCGGCGTCAGGACTTTCTGGTTACGGTGAATATGTATATGCACAGCCACCATCCACTGTACGCAGGTCGCCAAGGCAGTCGACCACAACGCAACCTGCGCAAATGAACACAAAGAAATCACACAGTGCACCATCAGTAGTCTGCACCAATGTTCCCGAATCTATGTCAAATTCCTTACAAGGAAAAAGCCCGACGACATCAGTCAATGGAACTTCATATGTGAAGTTGTACGTAGTGTAGCTGAAACCGGCAAGCTGATGTGGGCCAGCTCTTACCACTACTCAAAGCACTACGGTGAACCGCGACATCTTCGAGTGATGCTGAATCCTGCCGGGGAAGCGGAAGTAGTTGTGCTGTCGATAATTTGTTTTCGGAATGGATCCTGTTCCATACACATGTTCGTGAATATTCTGTGGAGAGGGTGTAAACAGGCGAAGCACGGCTTGGAACACCAAGGAAGGAATTCAAAGCCAAGATCAGTTTGTTCAATGTGCCCGAAAATGGAGGGCATGGTGAGCGTAAAACAACAAACTAAGACCAGGAGTAGTGGTGTTACATTCACGAGACTTTGTCTTTGGGAAACGTCGGAGCTCCATCGATATCGATCAACCTAGTCCACCGAGTTACACGGGATGTGGTCCAGAATTATGAAGGTGGTGTTTCAATCCATACGGATGTCAACAGTGGTATTAGAGTGCTGGTGTGCGCAAAGAAAGTAACTATCTTCAGAGCTCTGAATCAGGACGCCGTCCTCCTATCAAACACAACATGTGAGCAATTTTGATGAATCATGTCCTAGTAATGGTTCAGAGAGCAATACTCATCTCACCGCCGAAATTGGGGTTCACATACACGTTACACACAAAGAAATGGTCAAAAGCATAGTACGGAAACGCTAGATCTACCGCAGACACATTCGCTACTGCTCCACTCAAAAGGACTGATGACCGACCGACCAGTTGGCGTAAGATCACAATAAAAACACACGTATCCCGACTCACTGATGAGAGCACAGAAACTTCCTCTAGATGTATAAATGGACAAGTTTGCTGAACCGTCTACGGCAAGCATTATGTGCATAGGAACACATACTCGCAACCGAAAGTTCGCTGCACTCAAGATATTTATGTTAAAGTCACAATACAGGGTGTCCTTTATTCGAAACAATCGCCCCAGCAAAGTAGGTGGGGTACCACCACAGCGACCCGCAGTGCGAATCGATGGATGACCAGGGCATCAACAGTACGCTGGTAAGCAGTACCGACGCTTCGCTACCGTGCAACCACCACCGGTCGCACGTAGGCTAAGAATACTGTGAGGGTCGCTCAGCCCCTATGCAAGCTCGAAACCGCGCCGCCAGATTACAAGAACAGCATGCTACCCTTAGGCTACGGGCCGGCAAAGAAGCGCGACGTGTTCAGGATTCGAACTCCGGCCATGCAGTTGACAGTCCGACAAACACACACCACTAGACTACAATTCTGTCGATGCTGAGACTAAGACGAAAGGATAGTTACTTGTCGCACAACGATATGTCCCTCAGAGAAGGACTACCGTCTGACATTAACTTTTGGAAGTGACCGGCGGCCATGATACAGTCATGTTCCCATCTCAGGTGATTTCGACGTCCACGAAGTAGAAGTTCCGGTTACCGACAGTGAGCAAGTCAAGGCCCAACTGTATGACTTTACTGCATGCATTCCCCTCCTTATCAGTGTCGGCTCGCCCTCCAGATTTCGAGCGGGAAACAAACCATGAGTGCCTGATTTAGTGCTTACGAACGAAGAACTCATAATCGAGGGGCCAACGAGAACCCTCAAAGGATACGTGATCACATCACCATAATTTGTAACTGTATGTCCTGCGGAGTATCCGCAAGATCTGACTTATTTCGTACATCCACCGATTACGACAAACCAACAGAACTCGAGGGAGAATCCACCTGGGGGTTTTGGATGACGGTTTTATTGCATGGAGTTCGTCGGCAGGTTCAATGATCTGATCACATTCGCGTCAGAAAACAGGTCTTTTTATTCAGCAACAGCACCATCATTAATTCGGAGAAGAATTCGAAAACACATGGCAGTATGAGACGCAGCATGGTCACAGAGCTAACCATAGTTTTGACAACGGGAGCCCCTATTTAATGCAGCTTAACCATTGTACCAGAACAAATTAACACACCAAAGGTTACAATAAGAAACTAATGGACAAACATGTGGGCAACCTCGAAAAGTGAAGCGTGCTATTCTCCCGCTCATCTCAACAAACGGAAGTGCTCAAAGCAGAGGATGCAGGAAACGTTCTAAGGTTAAAATATGCTCCAATATTCTGACGCGCCTCCAAAATGTCACATACCTGTCCCAAATCCGTAGGAGTTAGAAAATAACCATGTCAATTACAGTTAGCGGCTGCATTGAGGAAAAAAACAAGAAAGGCATCAACAGTACGCCGGTACGCAGTAGCGACGTTTCGCTACCGCACAACCACTGAGGGTCACTCTGCCCCTACGCAGGCTCGAATCCGAGCCTGCAGATTGCAAGGCAAGTTCGCTAACATTAAGTTACGAGCCAGCAGGCAGTGAGGAAGCAGTAGTGGTAGCACACACCCGAAGTTACCACGGAGTTAACAACATTCACACAAGAGCGTTGAACGTGGCAGCTGTGAGGCTCGTTCAGTCCTTAACTCGATTATCTTAAAGTTGCATAGATGAATGTAGGGATATTTGTAGTACTCGTTGTGTGATTAGATTGCGACGTAGAAACTCCATGTAGACCGTGATTCGCACTGTAGTGAACTTTTATCGAATCAATTACTAGGATTGTAGCTGAAGCAGATGAAAATTGGGTGTTTCCCGCCTGCAAAAATTGCACATCGAGACCCGTTTCGACCGTGGTTGATCTCATCAGGTGGAGATAGCAGGCCTCGAGCCAGGGACCATTGTAATAGTAGTCGGAATCTCTATGCCTTTGGCTACCGGTCGCGACGGGGAACGCCTGCACAACGGTTAATGATTGACTGCAAGGACATTTTGGAGCACACTTTGTGCGATTGGATTGCGACGTGCGATTTCAATGCAGAACGTGATGCTCAGTGAAGTAAACCTTGGTAAGTTCGATCACTAGGACCGTGGTTGATGTATCAAAAAGAACTTAGGTGTTGCCGGCGTGAAAATACCGCAGTGGTGGGTTAAAGGCGATTACCAGGAATTAAAGCGAAAACCGCAAGGAAACTATGTCTCGCTGATGTCACTGTAGCTTTTCACGATAGCAAATCGTGCTGGTGGTTAACATGCTTAGGCAATACATAAGAACCCAACTAGTCCTTTCTTGGATTATGTTCACAAGTCAACGATGCACCGGCACAAGTATTGTGTGTTGTTGCTATCGTTGCTGATAATGATCATGAGTTGGGAGAGTATGTGCAGCAGTGTCCAGTAGGGCAACTTGCTCATAAGCGAAGTAGTGACATCGAGCGGAAAGAAAAAAGCCGACGATGCAACGAAAGCAGCACACCAGTTAGCACGACATTCCACCCAGTATTGGAGAGTAAATGTACTTGAGATGTAACCAAAGCGAAGACGGCAGATAGACGAAACGGTTAACTTCCGAAAATAAAAGAACGGCAATAGATAACGGACAAGTGGATAACATGTGCAGAGATGCAAAAATAAGCCAGGAAAAAATGCCAAAGTGAGCTTACGTCGGAAACTGCACTATCTCAATTAAAGCATTGTTGGATTCCAAATCTCCGAGTGATCTATCAGACTGAGATGGGTCACGCAAGATGGCCAGGGTGGTTTTGGGTAAACCAGGGTACGCTTGATCATATGTTGTGTTATCCGAGGATATCAGGACGAAATCCTTGATAAACGGAAAGTGAGTAACCACCCCGACGCATACAACAGCGGCCAAGTTGAAAATGTGCAATCGGCCCTAATGAGAATCAGTGGGAGAGTGAAATGTGAAAATGAAGATAAGTAACATATTTGAACAGTGTCCATCTAACGGAAAAGGAAATGTGAGGAGAAATGATCAATGTAAAAATTGAGACTTAAAAATTAGTAGCAATTCAAAAATCCACTGAGGAATCTAATTTGTGATTTTATGTCTGTCCATGAGTTTGTACTCGTTTCTCTCCTTTTCATTGGGTCACTGTTGAACGAACCTGGGTGTAATGAAATGTGGTACTCTCTTGATTCAATACAGTGATCAAAATGAGACCAAACAGTGATTCAAGATAGTTACTATTTGTTAATTTCCCAATGCAGCTAGTAAACGGTTTGGTGCAACGAAGAGATTCTAATCCGCTATTTGTTATACACATTAGCTAGAGGTGGAAGACATCTAAGCTAGTGTGCCGCAATGCGTAAGGAAAGAAAAAAAGTTAATCTGCAACTGAGCCATCAGTAACGGATGGTCATGATCCCGGAAAGCTACCAGTTGGTATTGCGCCTCAAAAAAATTATATTATGCAAAATTTATAATATGCTAGGACAAGTGAGCGTGGTTGGAAGGGGGGGCAAAATACTCACAACACGTACGCCACTGAGGTCGGTTCCTAGCCATGTCAGAAAGTTATCCACCCATCAAATCCGCTATGCACCGCCGTAGACAGTAACCAACTGGTCGAGAACATTTTAAACTAAACTTTGTGGTACCATTAATAGAAAAAGTGTAAAAATATGTGATACCAAGTGTACGAGGAGCATGAGCAAGAGTGGCTACATTGATCCGTTGGGTGCATAAACGTTTGGTAGAGAAAGTGCGCAATATGGGTGGATAAATAAGATTCGCCTTGCTAATAGACGGTGTATAATAGTGATGTCTCGTGGATCACCCGATTGTGCTTTAACGTAGCTAATGCGGGTAAATTTAAGCGGCCGTGCCACAGTAAGATATCCAAAAGGACAGAATTAGCGTGTGCACCGAATGGTAATGGATCCAGCTGCCCTTACGTAGAAAAGTATGAATGTACGGTATCCGACAGACATTCCTGTCTGATTTACTATCAAATGAGCAAGAGATGACAAGGCAGACAGCTAGAAGATAAGTGAAAGACATTGCCCAGCTAGTGTGTGATAATGTCGCAAAAACTGGCGAGCAGCAAAACGTTTTTGACTAGACAATGGTGAGTAAAACTGTGAAAAACGACAAAAAGTGTTGATGAGAGGAACGAGCATGACGCGTTAACGAGTGCCGCATAAGAAGAGCCCAACAGCGTAGTAATATCAAAATGGTAGCCACTGACATGCCCAATGCGAAAGATAGCGAACTGCCTAGGATAGCAAAAGGGAATATTATTCAGGAAGCTAGAACCACCGAATATAGGTCCACCTTGTTGAGAGCCTCGGTTGCATGCTCGAAGTCCACATCCGAATCGAGGATTGGTAGTATAGCATTAACATAATACTTATACAATCGCCAATCATGTGATGCTATCTGTTTTTTCTTCAATCATACCCATGAGTACATATGCCAACAGCCGGTCTAGTGGGTTATCTATTACCACACCATCTATCTGCCGATATGCTTTACCTAGAAAATAGTACTAGATGTTTTGTGTGCGTAAAAGAATCATGTTCTTCAATAACTCTGTAAAAAGCCCAAGTCGAACGTCACGTTTAGTGATAAACTAGCATAGATGGTCAGCTGTTTCATTCAAAGGGGTTGTTTGTGTACAGACTGTGGATCAAGTGAGCCTCTTCGCTTTCCGATCAAAGTAACACATTCCAAGGAAGGGAGTAGTTCAAACGTGTTTGCTCAAATATGCTTTATTAAGGATTTTCTGATGGACTCTAGCATGCTGTTCAAATTAGACGGTACAATGGTCAGGGGCCAGCAAAATATTCATTGCTTTCCCACAAAAAGAACTAGCCGTGGGAATTTTATGATCAGCAAGGAAAGCGAAGAGCAACAAAGTCATGAAGAAACTACCAAAGTGGAGGTCAGGCAGTAACCCATGATCAATAAGATGAAAATTCGCCAGAGCACACCCGCCCAGTGCATTGCTACAAACTAGTCGGAATGGAGAAGAAAAAATACAGCAAGAAACCGAATGGGGCTGAGGCTGATCAGCTTCAAGGTTGGGTGTACTATAGAAGATAGTTCGGATGCAACCTACATTGCAGACCCGTTTGTGTAACCTAGGGAAGGCAGTCTGACCGCCTTTGAAGGTGGACAATGGATAGTCATGAAATGAGAGAAGGCATAACTCACGTTGCCTGACAGAGCGACACAATAGACGGCGGACAGAAAATGCGCCCTGATGAATAGGCGATCATCATCAAGTCTCGAGTTTACTAAAGCTATAAAGGGTTCCGAGAGCAAAGTTTCAGCAGCAACAGAAATGGAATATAAGCAGGAGTTTTCACTCTGTAAGACAATGATGAGAGTAAAGTAAACGGCACCATCTGCAATATCCAGCTGCGGTTCCCGTAAAAAGTACAAGCTACTAAAGCACCGTCCAAACACGGATACTTTAGGACTTTGTGAATTAATGTTTTCATAGTTTCCACATTGGTAGAAGCGAGAGCTGCAAAACTATCCACCTCTCAAAGGGCATGACTTACCAGAGTGAAGTGAGGCGGAATCCAAATTATGAAAGTGGAATGTTTCACTGGCCAGCAGAATAAGGTCAAACTTCCCTGAAGGGTAATAAGGATAGAAGCAGACAAAACCAACCATCAGCGGTCCTTAAAACTCGAACTGACTTCACAAATCCAAAACAGTCCTAGAAGTGCAAAATAGTAAAGTGTAAGACTTACCAGGTGTGATAAAGAGCGATTCTCAGAATGTAAGAACAGATTGAGGAAGCCGTTTTCATCAGAAAACAAGATGATCGACTCATCTGGTGTAACGGCGATGCATGAGATGGCAAAGTCTTTAATGGGAGTAAGAATAAAAATGTACTAACCGTGCGTCAGTGATGAGAGAACTGAGAATCGCTCGTTGCAAACAAGAAGAGTTTGATCGAAAGCAAAAACATTTGATTGTGAATCATGGACACCAAGCACAAGAGGTATCCTAGAAGAACCAGGGACAGGTATGTCCAAACAGGGCACGTATTCGTATAGCTCAACCATTTCTGTCCATGGATCGTAGTGGGTGCTGCAAATTAAAAGAAAATATTTAACAACGCTGCCATAGTGAGCAGTGAGTAAAAGCTACCAAAGATGGAAAAGAAACAGGTATCAAACTGTTTGAGAAGAGAATAGATCTACGAGGATCCCGATGAAACGCACCACATTTACACACGAAACGTCTTCATAAGTTGAATAGCACGAGACGGTTAGGATCGCTCGCGGAAACCAGCCGTGGAACAGGGGACTGTCATTATTTTATTTCGGGTTGCAACCTACTGTTTGGTCTGTTGTAGCTTGCATACCGAGGTTTCTAGATGAATAAAGCTTAACTCTCAGACCTACGTCTTCTCAATCGACATATGTTCAATCTATCTGGTGGACCGTACTCAATCTCATAACAGCATATTATGCACTATCGAACGGGTCATTCATAAGATGTGCGTTGAATTGCAACAAAGTTTGGCATCTGATGTGGGAATGAGCTTGTGGGATACAGGGTTATGTTCAATGGCTTGGAAATGTGGGGGACGTTTGTGGCAGAGCTGAATAGGGTCAGGAACTGCTGGAAACATGGGTGGCGCAACTAGGAGAACGCAACATGCACCGCTAGGGCTTCTGGATTCTGTGGGATTCCAGTTGAACTACAGTGGGCGTATCATACCCGGATAAGATGTAGTGCAGCTGCAATATGCTGCCATCAAGCAGGAATCAGCGACGTGATCCCGCACAGGTGCCCGACCCACTTACGATGGAGCAACACACATTTTTATCTCCTCGCTCGCTATTCTCATTATCCAGGACGTAAACTGTTATGCGTAAATTTCCAAGCTCATGAAAAATCAAAAAGCAATGGTCACAGGGAGGTGTGTAAACAAGCAGAGCGTCAAAAACAAGGTACGGTGAAGGCACACAACATTTATATACGTCTCAGTTGTCTGTGCATAGACCGACTGGGTAGAATGGTAATGACTTGAGCTGATTAGCTGTTGAGGAAATTGGTCTTAGAAAGCTAAATCAAGATGACTGTTTTCGGCCGATAGAAATTCAATCGGGTTGGCCAGACCATTCTCCTAACATCAAGGTAGCCAGTTGGTAGGTTAAATAACGCAGTTTTAACGTAAGTGATGCCAGTTATAAAGATGTCCCAATGAAACGTCATCATTCATTCACTAGGCAGGTTACCTAGAGGTGGGGACACTTCAGCCATTGTACGATAATGAAACGTTATACTTTCTTTCCAATCAAAAACTAGGTGAAAAGTTTCAGTACTACATACCGAATGGTCTCAACAAACGAACAATGATAATCTGACTTATGACGCTTTTAACGCGTGGTAACAAAACATTTCACTCCTGCAATAAAACTGGTCGAACTGCAGTAATCCATGTCTTGCATTTGATGACAACCTAACGTCACGCAGTTTCCACAGGCGAATGAGGCTCAAAATAGCAAGTGGGCCTCAGAAATGAGCGCATATTCTCGCTCGATGACGTGACCGAATGTGAAGAGCAAATAAGATAAGTGAACCGAGATATCGTTTCCAACAGTGGTTCAGTGAGAATAGAGTGGCAACGAATAGAGCAGTAGCAAAATGCATGCCAAATTGTACGGTACCTTGGTATAATATATTCACTAGTGTTTGCATGAGTCAAAAGCCAGATACAAAGAAGGTAATGCCGTCCGTGTACGATAAAGTAACCAACTACAGATTCGTTCATTCCAAAGGATGCAGATAACAGTTATTCAAGCCAAGTTCCATTATGAAGTCAAACAGAAAGTAAGAAAGCAGTTGTGATTTGTTTCGACTGCCATGGGAAACTACCGGGGTGATCTAGGTGGATTTTCGTTAGGTCTCGAGACTACAATTTAAAATATTTCTTTGACCTGATAGGTATGGTAATAGACGGCTACGACTAAATGAATAAACAGTGACTTCCAAGAGAACGGGAGCAGCTATGGCAAGCCGTCTGCATATACCGCACCGTTTATGAAGCGCTTGGTGAAGCGAAACAGTAAGAACAATGAGTTCTTTAAAAGAATGGAAGCGAATCCGTTTTACAACGAAAGGACGCCTGTAAGTAACGGTGAACCGATGCGGAATTATATTTGTGAGGATCGAGCAACTTTCACAAAACCTGTTGAACTTACAGAAAACTGTGAACAGGCGACAATCTCAAGTACATTAAGTTGAATAAAGCGGCAAGGAAGATTACGAGTCATCCGTGTCTTTTAGTAGCCAGTAAAATCGAGCGGTGTGTCCTCGAATAACGGTGTCGATTCACCTCTGATTCACTAAATGCTGGGATCGGTAATAACAACATCCTAGGTGCATTCTCGTTATTCGGTAAGCCAAAGTGAGGCCAGATTGACTAAACTTCCTTTATAAGCTTTCTGACCAGCATATACTTTGAGGTATTTGGGACAAAAGCAGCTGTTCCCCATGCTCGGGGCAGCTTGTCGCTAAATCAAACCCTTTCTGAACTTGCGCAATGAAGCAGTTGAAACAACCAACCGAGTGTTTTCAGCAGGACATGCTTTCTTAGTCGCTCATGAGGTTGTCGCTAAACGAAAAGTACGGTTGGTTCAGAGGGTCCAGTTCATGGTGTCTCGGATACTCTGAAGCTGACGATGAGGCAGCACAATCCTCAGTGTTTCGATTCAGGCAGCATAAGCCTAAGAACTCATCGCGCACATTAGCCCGGGCGGGCAAACAGTTTTGTTCCTCATGCATTAGGCGTGATAAGAATACAGTTAACTTATCTAGTAGTACGGCAGTGATAGCGATCCAAGAACACCAGATAGAGAAGTTTCACGAAGACGTTTAGAGGGTGAGGAGTTAGTTGAAACCGGGAGGATGAAAACCAAATAAATGTGACAGATGCACAGTAGCCACGTTGGTTTTTGAAATCGATGGACAACGTTACACAGACGAACGTGATTAGTAAACAGCGGCAAAATGTCTATTCCGATACAGGATAGCATACCAGTCGGTAGGCAACTCACAAAGCAAGCCAAACATCATGTGTTGCGCCAAGCGCACCGTTGAACCGAAGAGAATTCCGGTCACCAAAAATAATTACTACGCTATATATACATCGGTTGGCGTCATACATGTCCGGATTTGTCTGTCACTGCGGTCCCCATGCGGACATCCATAGGACGCCTGCGTCTAAAGAGGGACCATGGGTGGCTTGCTCTGCACCACCCACACCCCATATCCGGTGTAAACCCGAAGGAATAAGACAATGAGGCATGCGGATGGGAGCCATATTTCATCAACAGAGCAGGCCCACACTCCTAAAACAAGCAGAACAGAAGCATTCCGGCTTGATTTGGAAATCATGCGTATCAGACGTATACAAGGCGGCGGCTTGGCCGTAGCCCGTTCCACACAGGATGGAACTACTCTTTGAACCTACCAATGTCACAAAGACGGCGCATTGCGTCCCCTCCTGTAACGACCAGCTGTCTCCTGGAGCCAGCATGGACGAGGTGGTGGCTAATAGATAGGCAGGCAGTTGTCAATATTTACATCAGGCGCAGCCACACAGAGGAGCTCAATCAGCATCCAACCCCTGAAATGCAAGAATACTCAACACGCAGACAAACGTATCACAACCGCAGCGTTATTGGCCTGGATTGATAAATCAAATGGGAACGGCCGCATCGCACTTTTCCTCCACCTGCAACAGTGCCCATGCATCTGAGCAACCGCCCACTTGATCAGCCCTTGGAATTCGCACCGATCAATTCCGCCTTTCTCTCTCTCTCTCTCGCTCTCTACATATATATATATATATATATATATATATATATATATATATATACCATTTTCACATTGAATTGGACATTTTGCAAACCACATTGGACATTTTGCAAACCACATTGGACATTTTGCAAACCAAACTGGACATTTTGCAAAACAAATTGGATACGTTGCAATCTAAGTGGCAACTCGCCAATTTGGCTCCATGCTTCCCAAGACCAATGGACCCAATGTGTCGGAAGAGGTTGCGAGTGCTACCAGAGGGCAGCGGTCTCCATCTCCAAAGCACGCTCAGACCACCAAATCTCACAATCCTTGCGCAAGCTTTGCTTGAGCAGCCGGTTGGCAGAACGGTGCCGCTTGTTGCAATCTGATTCTGCCGGAATGTTTCTGCGGCGGTCGAACAGCACTAATGGGGGAGCAGAGATCCAAGCATTTAAGGGGCGTCGCGCAAGGCCGCAGCTTGCCTGTCCGGGAGTGGCCATGGCCTTGCGTATACAAGTTCAGTGATCAATATTTTGCGACAGATTGCAACGGAGTGCGTAGAATGGAGAAGACTAAGAAGTCTGTTAACGTGTTTGCATCAATCGTATGATGTTTCGTTTCTGTGGTCCTCAAAACACAGAGATTTTCGCACAGACCGGTGCATGATCCGAGT